CCAAAACCGACTAGGGGGGGGGAGGGGGGGGGGGGGGGGATTAACCTTCAGGGAAAAAAAAAAAAAAAAAAAAAAAAAAAAGGCAATTTGAAAAAATCGAACCCCAAATCCAAGCGAAAACTTACCGAGACCACCAAATCCCCCTCCCCCAAGGCTTTCCTAAAAGGGGCTGGAGGGGGAAACTTGTTGAGCGTTTATCCAAAGCAGAAACAAAACCAAGCAGGACTGAGGATAACGGTCCTGGTCGCTGGTAGCTGCAATAAAACACGAAAGCTCCGAGTGGCTGCTGAGAATCTAAATCATGTACTTTTCTCTTCCAGACAACATAGGGGGACCAGAAGGGAAAAGGGCTCGGACTGCTTACACCCGCTATCAGACCTTGGAGCTGGAAAAGGAATTTCACTTCAATAGATACCTGACCCGCAGAAGAAGGATTGAAATAGCACATGCTCTTTGCCTCTCAGAGAGACAAATAAAGATCTGGTTCCAAAACAGGAGAATGAAATGGAAAAAGGATAATAAGCTGAAAAGTATGAGCATGGCAGCTGCAGGAGGGGCATTCCGTCCCTAAGCGTTTGATCAATTAAAAGTACTGAGCAGTATTAGCTGACCCTGCGTCTCATGTCAGTACTAAGTTGACTTTCTAAAACTTCCTTGTGTTACTTCTGTGAAGAAACCCTGTTCTTGTCGCCCTTATTCATCTTTTAATCATGAGCCTGTTTATTACCATTCTCTCGCGTGTATAAGTAGATCTGCTTTTATCGTACATTTCTTTGTCTTGAATGGCTTTGTCTTGAAAAAAATAATAGATGTTTTAACTTATTTATATGAAGCGAGCTGTGTTACTTGAAGTAACTGTTAAAACAAAACAAAACTAAACAAAAAAGAACAAAAAAAAGAAGGTAAAAAAAAGGAGAGAGAGAAAGAAACCCTCCCCCGGTTTAGTACAAATGTTATGTGTTGCACTCAACCTGCTTAACTGTGCATGTGTGGTCAAGTGTTAATGTCTGTATAGCTCCAAGCTGTTAAAAATATTTTTATTCAAACTACCTATATAATTCCTGTGTAATTAATGCTGTTGTAGAGGTGAAATGATGAAATCAACTGAACTTGTCCTACGTGTAGTGAATAGTGAATCTGTGACGAAAACTGTGATTCCAAGCAGTATGTCCTTGCTGTGCCTTTGTATATGACTCTTTGCACGAACTCTTAGAAGTGGCTCTTATTAAGCGCAGCTTCTGTGATGTATGTTTTTTGTGAACAAAGTTACAAATATAGTCAAAGTCCGGCTGTTTGAGCAAACTGTGATCAGCTTTTTTTTTTTTTGTATTTGTTTTTAAAAAAAACTGACTGGAAATCAACAAAAAAAAAATAAACTTTCTATTGTAAAGTTTTCGTGGTCTGGTTTGTGCAAGGCAAGAAGTTGTGCTTCCTGATTTGCCTCTGAAAAAAATATTAACCCGTGCAGAGTTCGTAATAATATTTTACCTGGCTCCTGCTGCACGTTGGAAATGGCAGAGGCTGCGATTGTCCGCTACCAGAATTTTTAATTGAAAGTTTGACCAGAAGTTCCTCCTTACTGGTTTCTCGCTAGGTGGAAAGCTGCATCGCAGGACCACAATCAACACCCTTTGTGGGTGAATCAACTGTTAGCTGTTTGCTGATGGTTGAGAAAAGCCCCCATGTGCTTTGTTAAAACACGCTGCTAACTCCAAGACGTGTTTGCATCGCTCTAGAATTTCTCCTGTGGTTTCATTAAGTATATTTGCAGGACAGCCACGTCCGAGCCCTCTGCGTCTATTAGTAACCCTCGCTAGCCACATTCCCACTTTTCACCCTTTAAAGATTTTTGGTTTTCTTCGCTACAATTAGTTTGCTATAAACGTAATGTTACTTACCCCATCAGAGCTTGAATGGTTAACTCTTCCGAGCTTCTAAGAGCAACTAAAGATTTGCACATTTACTGACTGGTTACATTGATGCCTTCCCTTAAAAGTTATAAAACAGTAAACTTTATAAACCTCAGTTCCGGCTATATGACATTTGGGTGCCAAATGAATAGGGTTTTGTCTATGAATTAGATCGTAAAATCATCCATAGCACAGACAGATAGGCTCACTGGCTATAAAAAGTCACGTGGTGCCATTAAAGTAAGTTTTATGGTTTTGGGGAGTTGACATCCAACATTATATACCACATAACATATAATCTCACTGACGCTGGACTTCATTTGACTCTTTTGCAGGCTACGTGTGCCTCCTGGCCATTCAAATTGTCAGGTTTAGGGACAGAAGTATCCAAACCACAAGTTCTCAATACTGTGTGAAAAATGGCTCCTTGCAAGTCAAAGGTAAGTTTTGTGCACAAGTTCCTTAAAGTTTATTTGTACAGTGGGGAAGCCGAGGCTCCCACTCGCTCTCGCTGCCTCTCGCCTCTCTCTTTCTTTCTCTTTCTCTTTCCCTTCCACCGCCTGGAGCTTTTCAGGACGGTCCCACCGAGCCCGAGAGGCAGGATCAACCACTAATGATCCAGGTTGCGCTGCAAGTCCCCCCCATCCCTTCCCTCGCAGCAGCAGCTAGCTCTCTATTTTAACGATCAAATCAAAGTAAACCACAATAAGCGACTTTGGCAGAGATGGATTTTGGGGCCTAGCTTTAATCACTTTGACTACCGCAGAACATAATTACTTCCTTTGCTCCAATAGACTCTCCAAGTTTGGAGAGGTTTTGTTTAGCAACGAGTAGTTACTGCAGGCGATTAAAAAAGGGGGAAACAAAATAGAGAGGGCTTGATATTATCTGGGCAGTGTCTTATGTAGGCATGATAGAGTTGGAGGCGTGCTGATATGGTAATAATCTTCGGATTGGTGAAATATGTTGCACATCAGAGCTAGCATTAAAATGGCACAGACTGTACTGGAGCACTTAAGATTCCTATTTTCTGCATGGGGTTGTGCAGAAAGCTTTAGCTATGTATATATGTCCATCTGCGAGCGCGTAGTGTGTTTCGGGGATGCGCATTTATCACCTTGCTTTAACTTTTTCCAGATATATTTATATTGCATAAATATAAATATATTTAAATTATGTGCCTGTGTGCATGCATGTACAAATCGATGTATACGCCTGTATAAAGCCGTGCACATGCATATGTGTGCCTAATATCGATGTATTTATGTATACAAAGGGTGTGTACGCGTGTATACATATATACGTTCCTGTGACTTTTTTTTTTTTTTTTAAGCGAACCAATTGACTGTAACTTGTAGCATTAATACAAGAGACTACAGGTCATTAGAGTGCTGCAAATTATGAAATACGGGCTTGGTTTATTGAAGATTGTAAATATCCCCCTAGCTCTGCTCTCTCCCTCTCTGCCTTATATTGCTGGCTGCCATTGTGGGGTAGGCCCCAGCTGCGTGTTTACTTCAACATTCTTTTTATTTAAGTGGACTGTTCTCACTAGAGTGTGATTACTCAGCAATAAACTTTATGGCCGGATTTAACTTTAGTCTTTGAATTTCCAGGACTTGAATGAAAGGGTGAAAGGAACTCTGTCTTTCTCTGGGTAGCATTAAGGCCTGATCCTTACCCTCAGAGCTGTTACTTAGTCGAGTGATCTCGGGGGTGCAGACCGACTTGTCAGGGGCTAGGGAAGAGATTTGAGAATTGCCTCCAAAATCTATCTATCTATCTATCTATCTATCTATCTATCTATCTATCTATCTCTCCAAACCAGCTGTGAGTATCTCTTTCTCTGCTCAGGTTTAGAGTAGCAGGGATTCAGCAGATCGCATTGTTTTCCTTCATGTGTCATAAAGTCGGGTTTGCAAAAAAACGGGGTGGTTTGACGCGAGCTGGGAGATGGGCTTTGTTTTATTTCGCTAGTGCTATCCCGTTTGAATATTGCGGTTTAGACTGTATCTGCTACTGCGAGCAAAAATGAGAGAAAGGCACAGTGGTACAGGAAGGTAAGGTTGTTGTGTACCTCTGCAAGGTCTGCACATTGCTGACTGATTCCTATTTTTAATTTATTTGCCTTTAACGTTAGAGAAATGGTAGTATATAAGGCTGGTTCAGCTCAAAGATCTCACAGTTTTACAAATATTTAATATTTAGAGTCAACCCCCTGTGTAAGATAAATGGAGTCCGAAACCTTTGTGTCTGTGTATCTTCCTATGATCACTAAACAAACACATATTCATGTACTTCATATCAAAAAAATGGGAAAGGATTTAAAAGTGCATATCCAAATGCACATTTGAAAATCATTTCCGTAATAAACAGCTGGCGATTTTATAGTAGACTAGCTGTCACATTTTCGTCAATAGGAATACCAGAAAGTTATATATGATAGGCGTGTATTGTATTATATGCCATAAAATTTTACAGTGTGAGGCAAAGGCATGAAAACCCTTTAAAAGTTTGGGCTTCATTTATATACGGGTCCTTTTCCAAGAAAAATCCTTCCTTGTAAACGGGAATGATACTAGACACAAACCATTCGCGATTACTCAATATTCAACAACACCGCGTTATTTGAGTTATCTGGTGAACATAGAAACACACACGCACACCCGTTCGGCTAATATTTTAGGAACCTGGCTACCATCGCAGACTGTAATTTTTCATTGTCTGGAGCGAAAAGATTTGCTACTACATATTTTCACGTTTTTGAATGTGGCTTCTAGAGCATATGCCACGTAAAGCAGTGTAGAGAGATTCAAGAACTACGGGAAAGAAAAATATCCCCAAACCCACAAGCATATAAACCCGCCCGTACTGCAAGGAACTCTCTAACAACAAAAGAAAGTTAGGTAGAAATGACAACTTCTCCATATTTCTGGCCCTGCCCTGTCCTAAGCAGCACAGTTGAAGCCATTCGAATCCAGAAACACATTACGATTTTCTAATCCGCTTTGAAATTTGAAATTCAAACAACCCCAGACTGCCGAACTCTACCAAAATATTCCCCGGTCCTAATTGTTTTCCGAGGGAAAATGTCATGGAGAATAATCGCTGGGAATCGAGAGAGAGGTCTTATCTGCGCACATTATTTTTCTGCTGTGTTTGGGGGATTAATGCGTGCGAGTTTGTTTTACTTTAGGCATGGCAAGTGGCGTTCTGCGCATTGAAATGTAGTTTACCTAATCCTTTGAAAGAAATACTTGAGTGTAGTGTGTCACGTCTAAGCGTAAGGCCAATTAAAGATTAGGCAACTCTCTTAATGTGTCTAACTAGTGACTTTGCAAGGCATAACTTTCTCTAAACCAGAAGTATAACAATCCGATGGAAAGTCATCCGTAAATTACAGCTCTGTAGCCTTGCCTCAGCCCTGCAAACGCCCTAATTGCAGAACATTACGGGGAAATTATTATTCTGCCATTTCCTTACATTTAATAAGTGTGTATCTGTGGAAGGGTGACAATAGAGGGGTTTGCAATCTGCTCCATGGGAAATTGAATGGAACAGATCATGAGGGGCGGATCAGGAGGTTTCGATTTCAAACCCTGGATACTGGAGCAATGCCTTTTCCCTCCCCGCAAATACAGATTTAACGCATTAAATGCAGACATAAGTAAATCTCCTGACCAAGTTAAGACATCGCTCTGCTTTCTTAGCTCTTTCTCTTTCCTGCCCTTAAAACCTCCCCGATTTGTTGCCAGAGTTGCTAGCCAGAGCGCAGAAACACAGCTCCCACAGCCGCCTGGTCATCTCTGAAAATATTATCCCTTTCAAATTAAAGCATCCTCACTAATGTCTCTCTGGAAGGCAAATACTCATGGACCATCACAGTCACATGTTCCTGCAGCTACACGCACAAACAATATCACATCTGACATAGAGAGCGTGTAAAATTTGCAA